ACTTGCAGAGGGGCATGCATGGAGAGGGTGGAGGAAGGGAGGGATTGGGATGGGAGGAGGGAGGGAATCACAGGGGGGATATAAAGTGAATAAAGTGTAATTAATAAAGAATTAAAAAATATTAAAAAAAGAAATTAGCAAAACTGCACCCTTCACGATAGACACAAATAATATAAAATATCTTGGTGTAACTCTAACCAAGAAAATGAAAGACCTGTGTGACAAGAACTGCAAGCCTTTGAAGAAAGAAATAGAAGAATATTTTAGAAGATGGAAAGATCTCCCATGTTCATGGATTGGTAGGATTAACATAGAAAAAATGGCCATCCTGCCAAAAGCTGTCTACAGATTCAATAAAATTCCCATCAAATTGCCAACACAGTTCTTTACAGACCTTGAAAGAACTATTCTAAACTTCAAGTGGAAAAAAAAAAACAAACAAACAGAATCACTAAAACAATTCTATAAAAGAAAAGAACTTCTGGAGGTGTCTCCATCTCTGACTTCAAGTTATACTACCAGACAATGATAATAAAAACTGTATGTACTGACATAGAAATAGATCAATAGAATCAAATCAAAAACTCAGAAATAAATCCACATAACTGTAGTCACTTAATTTTTGACAAAGGAGCAAAAACCATACAATGGAAAAAAAAACAAATAAACAGCATCTTCAATAAATGGTGCTGGTCTAACTGAATGTCTACATGTAGAAAATGCAAATAGATCCATATTTATCTCTTTGCACAAAACTCACAGACCTCAGTAAAACACTAGATACACTAAATCTGTTAGAAGAGAAAGCGGAGAAGAGCCTTGAACTCATTGGCACAGGAGATAACTTCCTGAACAGAACACCAACAGCTCATGCTCTAAGATTTTCAATTAATAAGTAGGACTTCTTGAAAATGAAAAGCTCTGTAAGGCTATGGACACTGTCAATAAAACAAAAAAAACAGTCTACAGATTGGGAAAAGATCTTCAGCAATCCTACATTTGAAAAGGGCTAATATCCAAAATATATAATAAACTCAAGAAATTAAACACAATAAACAAAGTATTTTTTAAAAGTATATGAAGTAGCTCTGCTGCTCAGACAAAATCTATTATAGTTTGGCATTGTGTGTGTGTGTGTGTGTGTGTTACAATACTAGTAGCCCTAGGACCTTACACATGGCAAAAACTTTAAAACTCAAATGTATTCCCAGCCTTGATTTGTTTTATTTTTAAAACTACTGTTATGGTTTTTTTTTTTTTTTTTTGGTCTACTGGAGACAAATATATACATATCTGGGAAAAGAGAATCTTAATTGACAAAATGTCTCCACTTTCTCATTAGCATTTAGGCAAGTCTATGAGTATTGTCTTGCTTAATAATTGATACAGAAGGACCTGCCTACTGTGGGCAGTACCATCCCTGTGAATATGACCCTGGAATGTAGAAAAGAAGGCTGAGTAAGCCTTGAGAAACAAGACAATAAGCAGTATTCCTCCATAACTTCTGTTTTAATTTTGAATCTAGGCTTCTGCCTGCTTTGACTACCTATGCCTACAATGACTTCCTATGATGACTGACTGTGATGTGGAAGTAAAAGCTAACTAAACTGTTTCTTCCAAAGTTGTTTCTGGTAATGGTGTTTTATTACAGCAATATAAAATCTAAGGCAACAAGTATATTTGTGTGTGTGTGTGTGTGTGTGTGTGTGTGTGTGTGTAGAACAGGAGGAAATGCAGAAGTTAGTTTTCCTCTTCCACTGTTTGGGTCCCAAAGAATTTCTTTTTTTTTTTTTGATTTATTTTATTTTATTTTTCTTTATTAATTACACTTTACTCACTTTGTATCCTCCCAGTGGTTCACTCCCTCCTCCCGTCCCAATTCTTCCCTTCTTCCACCTTCTGCATGCAAGCCCCTCCCCAAATCCACTGATAGGGGAGGACTTCTTTTCCTTCCTCAAAGAATTTCTTGATGGCAAACACTGTTAGCCTCTAAGTTATTTTGTCAGTCCCTAGGACTGTTTAGTTTTTTTAATTTTTAAAAACTTATTTTAAATATTTTATACTGGGAATATTTTGCCTGCATGTACCATGTTCATGACTGGTATTGGAGGAATCTAGAAGATGGAGTCAGATCCCCTACAACTGGAGTTACATACAGGTTATTGTGTGCCATTGTGTGAATGTTGGTGATTGAACCCGGGTCCTCTCCAAGAGCTATGGAGCCATTTATTTTTGAGGTCACACTAACTAAGTTGCTAAGGCTGGCTTTAAGGTTACATTTTTCCTTCCTCAGCCTGAGTAACTGAGACTGCAGACCACCATCTAAACTGACTATAACTCCCTATAAGTTCAGTTTGTCATGTTTATGCTTTGTATAAAAATAGTTATTAATTCAGTGTCATACATGCTTCCAAATAGAAAGTGAAATCATTACATGAGTCTATTTATCAAATGGAGACCTTTAGATTTCTCTACACTATCTGCTTGTCATCTGATATTAGTGTGATTTCCATTTGCTTTTATTTCTTTGGAGACAATGCCACATCCAGCGCCTCTAACTTGTTTATATCTTGAACTTCTGGCTCCTTTGTCTCTGCCTCCCAAGTGTTAGCATGGTGAGCATCTGCCATCCTGTCCTGTTTTACACTGTGGAAAATCAAATCCAGAAATTTGTACATGTAGGGTGTTTCATACCAGCTGTATCTCCAGCCCTTAGCAGCTGGCATCTTCAAAAAAGTTGAAACACGAAGTGGGTACAGACACAAAGAAACTCACTCCAAACAGAGCTGTAAGTAGACTAAACTGCTGAGCCTCATTAGATCAGTAACTTACAGATGTGCACTGACAGAGACACAGTGGCTTCCACCTTGTGTTTTTAACGGCCTGTATTTATTATTTTAATTATATCTATGTCTGGGTTGTGTTTGCATGGGAGTATAGGTGTTCCCAGAGGCCAGAGGAATCGGATCCTCCAAATCTGGAAACAAACTATGTGAGAACAGTGAACTAAAGTCAGATGTATCTTTTCAGTCCTCCCATACCTTTTCTTGAAATGGTAATTCCTTGAAAGTATACATCTTTGTTTTATTATCTTTGTTCTCTTGAGTTCTAAATAAATATTATTTTCTTTACTAATTATTTTCTTGCTATCAAAATTATGTCTTCAGTCAAATAGCCATGATTTATTGTAATCGTAAGAGGTAATCATAAGAGCACATAAAGATAGTAGTTCTTTCCAATGAGGCAGGGGCTACATGCCAAAAGCCACTGTGCCTCCTTATAGAATAAAAACAACTGTTTTTTAGAGTTCCCATTAGCTGGCTTTGCAGAAGGAAAAGACATTAGTACCCCAACATCTATTCCAATTGGCCAAGATTCTCTGAAGAGTAGCACAAATGCTTTCTACAAGGTCTTTGGCACTTACAATGTATGTATATTGCTTCAAATGAAATATAAAGTTATTTATCATATCATACCTGCAGTGGGTATAATGCATAGAAAGGAATGTATAACCCTGAGATCAGATCACCTTTGGGGATTTTCATAGTACTATTTGTGAAAGAATCTGAAGTGTCATTGTTTATTCCTGAAGAAAGCTCCCCCAGGAAATAGATATTTCCTTGTAGAAGTTTGTAGATGCTGGCAGGGTAAATGGGAAATAAACAGAGCAGGAGGAAGGAATCACAGAGAAGCCACTTGAAGTTCAATGATTAGGCTTCATCCTTTATTAGGTAGCAAATAAAAGACAACTGATGCTTAAAATTCTAATTTAAGAGAGCATTTAAACAATAGTGTTCCTTTGCAAAATGAGGCAGACAAGGTCCAGATATTTCTGAGTATTCTCATATGGCTGATGAAGAAAATATGGCTGATTTGTTTGTTTCCAGCAAACCATTAAAGTTATTAATGCTTTGTGACCCAGGACTTCATGTAACTAACAGGCCCTGACAACAGACGGTTCCTTCATTTTGGTGAAACTGGGGAACAAAAACAGAAGCATATTATGGTGAGATTTCATTGATTGTAAGCACAAGTGGCTTTGTCACATGAAAGGACTGTAAAGCAGAGTGAATGGAATGAACAACCAAATAAGAAATTAAAATCCAACACAATTAGAAGCGGCTGGTCACATGGTAACAAACTGGGTAAATAAGCCCAACTCTAAGAACTTAAAGCCAGTCGGCAGTGCTTAGAGAGACTATAAAGAAGAAATCACCATGTTCAATGGCAGATATGTCTAAAAGATCTCTGTACCAAAAGAGTTATGGAATGATTATATTTTGTTATTCTTGCTTTCCTTTCACTTTTCATTTCTTTTTCATTACAATCTTTTTCTTTCCTCATTTACATGTTGTTTTGGTTGTTTGTTTAGTAATATATATATATAGCCAGATGTTTTAAAGATACACTTATAAGACAAATTCTACTGCTAGACACTGAAAAAGTCCTCTAAAGACCACATTTAACAGTCAGCACCAGGCACAATGCATATTTTTTAAATATAAATAACAAGCGCTAAACACCTCTCTCTCAAGGGACTCCTTAATTCTTTATTCCTCTCTGAAGATCACTGCAATTGAGATAAAAGCAATTTCGCAAAGGCCACACTCAGTACATCCCTAAAGTTTTAAACAGTGTTTATAAAACCTTTTAAAAATAATTTTTATTTTTAATCCTAAATCACAGAAGGATGATGTGTACATGTTTGTTCATCTTCTCTTATTGAAGGTCATTAATCTTGAATGCAATAATCTTTCTGCATCCAGCTCCACCATATCTATAGGGGCAAGCTAGCTTACTATAAGATAAAGCATATTGCTTTCATTACAAATCCACTTGTTACCAATTTAATTATAACATGTAACACCGAATGGTTATAGGATTATCTCATATAGATTTTCTTTTTATAAGTTATTTTCTTAATCTTTCTAACATATATACAATATACATACATTCATATATATATATATATTTATATACATACATATATATTCCCCTGATAAATCTTTTTTAAAGATAAAATGTCATTTCCTTTCAGCTTTGTGGTAAATATCAAAGCCCATTCTTATTTTACAATGCCACTGGAGAAATAATGGTCTAGGGGACCTTGCTAATACACTTTGTTTATGCCATATCATTAGTGTGCAGTGAACTCAGATTAATTTTTCTTGAAAGTACTAACAATTAAAAGTTTGTTAGAGATTTATGTCAAGTCAGTAGGAAAAAATAATAATAAACACAGCCATAGCTCATGCTTATGTCTGTCTTCATACATTCATTTTTAAAGCAAAACACTGTGATATGGACTACTGGAGTGACATAAAGGGATGTTGCAAATGACTAGTTTCTCTGCTTTTGAAGACCTGTGTTCATTTCACATCATCATCTTAGATTTTGAAGGCTCCTCATGTTTAGAATAAAACAGTTATATTCATTTCTTATTTTTTGCCCATGCACATGAGTTGATCAGTTTTCAGATACATTGCCGTTCTGAACACTTCACTAGCTCCAGCAATGCCTGTTTCCAGGTAGGAAACTAGTATTTACCGATGAAATGACTTTCAGGTGCTGTTCCACTTCTAAGCATACAAGAGAGGGGTGCTGATCATGGAGGCTTCCAAGATACCATCTGGTGTTTGTTTTTACATATTATAGATATGGAATAGCTGTTCATTCTACCTTTTTGCAATTCATTAAAACCTAATGGCATAGATTGAGACACAGCACTATTGTTTGACAAGACATCTATTGTATCTACTTTTGTTTGGATACATACCCAATAACTGCTGTCATAGCCAGAGGACCAGAAAGGGCATGACTATTCACAGTGTTTCTTTTGTTTTGTTGTTTTTCCTTTTATATATTATTATAATCTACAGAGTAAATTATTGTATATACATTGGAACCAGTTAATGCCCTTAAACAATGTACAATTGTTTCAGAAAGCAGGAAAGACAATGCAGGGGAAACAGTGCTCAAAAAGCACCTTCACAAAAACTCTGGAAGTTCTAGATACCACTATTAGTCAGTGCTGGAAATAACTTCTAAAACAGTGTTCAAGAAGAATGCTTTAATTTGGAGAAAATGGCACTCCTTCCCTCCCCTCCCCCTAGCCTGACCCCTATGCTTTTTTTTTTTTTTTTAATAATCTTTTCATTTTACTATCAAAAGTCCTGGCTCTTCAGACACATTTTAAACTATAAATAAACACTGCATAGTTCTCTTTTCTTTGATTATAGTTTCTCTCTCTCTCTTTTTTTTTAAATTATTGCAGTACAACACCTCCTGTTTAGAATTCAGTATGGAGCAAAGAGCACAGGAGTGTGGGTGGTCCGAATGGGTCCAGGAGCTGGCCTCAGAAGGGCTGGAGGAAGTGCAGAGGTCTGGAAGAGGGTGGCTGCTGGGGTAGTTCGAAGACTGAAGGGGGAATTCACTGCCACAGCAGCTGCAGCTGCTGCAGCTGCTAGTGGGTTTGAGAGAATTCTGGGAGCCAGTGGTTTTGAGGATTCTTTTGAAAATACTAATTTTACCTGCAAAGAAAAGAAATTGGAAAAATATCAAGAACAAAAGTTTTAGAGTTTGTAATTAGAGTCTAAAATGATAAGCCACAGCAGTGAGCAACTAAGTGCTGGTAAAAGAACAATTAAATTGGAAAGCATAGACGTATTTTTTCTGGGAAAGGCTGAAGATAACTACCAATAGACCACCAAGCATATTGAAGCACCATCCAAAGATGAACTCATAATTTTTCTGCATTTTAGTAGAAATTTATACCTCCACAGGAGGTCCTTGTCTGATGAAAAAACAGAGGGATGTTGTGCTAAACTTTATACACACAGCAACTGTCATGCAGCAAATATTTGTTAAACCTCCACGCTTTCTACTCTAGAAAGCATGTTTGATGTATTGGGGAGGGCGTTTTCTAGGACCTACTTTTCTTGGCATCTTCATGTCCTTTAATGTAGCATAATACAGTATGTAAGTCATACCCTTCAGATAGTGTTTTTCAAATAACAAAATTTGGAAGGTGCAAATGTTGCCTGCTATGTCTCTCAGATACATGAACTTAGTGTTGCATGAACAAGGACTTATTTATCTCTGACATCCTTTCTGAAAGTATTTGCTAATAGCAAGACAACTCAAAAGCTTGGCTTTTCTCCAGTTTTTGTGCTCAGGGACACATTTCATCTTGAACCAATAGATGAGCTTATGCTAAAGGTGGCAAACGCTGGAATAAATCATCTGGCTAAGGATTGTATTGATGAAGGGCAGACTGGACCTGAAACTCAACTGTTTCTATTTTTGTTAGTAGAATACAACACTTCAATTCAGTAACTGGCAACCTTCACCCCAAATACCTCTTAAGGAGATGTAAGATGACATAGAGATCACAAGCAACAATGTCACTCACCCCCAGTGGATGTGCTGCCTTCTGCAGTTTGTTGTAGGGGCTGTATTTAGGTTTGGGGGGCTTCCCAGCAGCTCGGTCTTTGTGCCTTCTACTGCTAATGTGCTGTTGAAAGCAATCAAAATGACAGCTTTAAAAACAACACACCTAAAACATTCTACATTAAAAACAAAACAAAAAAAACCCTGGATGATTATGCTGATTTCATGCAAGTTTTACAAAGACAAAAGGAAAAGAGAAGTGCACACTTCTATGTTTGGAAGCCTTTCACACAACTCATTTTAATATATTTTTAATAAAAAGAACAATTTTCTTTTCTCCTCTGCCTTTGTTTTATCACTACACATATCTTCTAAACTATATTTACAGGAGAAAAGATATCTGAAGAAATTTTATGTGCAAATAAACAAACATGTCCACACAAGCATGAATGTATTTCTATACCAATATTTATCCTCACATTCATGCAGCCAAATGTCAACCCCTTAAATTCTAAAAATAAGTAACTAAGGTGTAAAATATCATCTATATAAAAAATATAATACAATATGAAGGCTAAACCTTCAGCTGGAAATGTAGCACCACATTCTTTATAAGGCTATTTAGAATGCAAGTAAGTATCCATTGTGAATGAAGGAATTAGAAATATAATAAAATAAATGCATACAATGAAATAACATACAATTAAAGAACAGCACAGTATGCAATTACTGGTAACATGAAAATGCCTAAATAAGTCAAAATAGAACATTGTATATTGGTCTTAAAAAAAAAAAAACACTAACAGTTTTGAGTGGAAAACTCAGTAATGTTCTGATATCCCTTCTCTACTCAAAGTGCCCATACAAAAAAAGACAATTTGAATCAAGCGTTATTTATTAGCACTGTATATTTGTATTCTCTAAACAACTAAAATAAACACAAACTAAAATAAAAACAATAAATAAAAGATAACTGAGGATGTGAGTAAGTGGGTGGATATACTAAGAGGTAGATGAAAACGCAGTTTGATAGCCTGGTGAATGAAAGGTTTGTGAATGGATGTGTGGAACGATAGTTAGATGGGTGAGTGGATGAATGGATTGATGGGTGAGTGGATAAGTAGTTAGATGAACGGGTAGATAGATGAATGGTTATATGGATTTTTTTTTGTGGGTGGGTGAATGGGTGTATGGATGAGTTATGGATGGGTGGGTGGATGGATGGGTAAGTAGATGGGTGGGAAAGAAATATATAAAAAGAATGGGAACATACACAGACTGTTCACAGATTATCCCCTTTGGTTTTCTTATGATACCTGTTTGAGTTGTGTTTCTGAGTTGACATGCACATCACATATTTCACAGTGAAATGTTTTGTTTTGGAGCCCTGTGTTTCCCTTATTAACTGGTCCTTTGCCCTTCATTCCGGACCGAGGAAAGGCCTTGATAGTTCCACTTCCACTGCGTGCTTCTAGCATGGTTTTGTGCTTAGTACCTATGGGGAATATTTAGGAAAATAAAGAAAAATATCTTATTAATGCTAACATTCAAATGGAATGCTTACTTGAGGTTTTACTGACTTTCAGGACACAATAGATTGTAATAAGGAACTTCTGTTTTATAAGACAATATTAAACTATTGACTTTTTAAAATGCTGAATATCTCTACCCTGTCTGCATGGCCAGGAACCAGAGATTGTACAGCCCAGAGAAACAGAAGAGAACTAAGTAAAACAACAACAACAAAATCAAACCAATAAAATGATACCTAATGATATTATGCCATGCTCATAGATGGTGTCTTGTCCAGTCATTATCAGAGAGGCAGCAGGTGAGTGTGGGTGCAGAGATGCAAAGCCATACATTATGTGGAGAGATCATCTAAATTAGAGGTCTTTATCATGTCCCTCTTGGATATTGGAGAACTCTTTTAAGGGGTTGAAGGGGAAGATTGTAAGAGTCAGAGGGAATGGAGGACACCAGGAGAATATGGCCAACTGAATCAACTAAGCACAGCTCATATGGGTTCACAGAGACAGAAGCGCCAAGCACAGGGACAACATAAAACTGCAACATGTCTTCTGTATATATATTATGACTGTTAGCTTGGTGTTTTGTGATACTACTAAGAGTAAGAGCAGATGTGTCTCTGACTCTTTGTCATGCTCTTGTGACCTCTTTCCTCCTATTGGTTTGCCTTGCACCTCTTCCATATGAAGGATTTTGCCTTGTCTTATTTTATCCTGTTCTGTCCCGATTGGCTATTGCTCTTAAAGATCTGTTCTTTTCTGAAGAGGAAATGGTAAGAATTGATCTGAAGGAGAAGGAAGATGGTGGGAAACCAGGAGGAGTGGATAGAGGGGAAAGTATTGTTGGGATGTATTGTGTGAGAGAAGAATCTATTTTCAAAAGAAAAAAAAAATCTAACAAAATAAAGTTATGGTAGAAGTAGGAAAAAAAACAACAATGCTGAATATCACATATAAGTACTATAGGTAAGTAAAGCAATTAAATGGGAAACCTGGGGAAAATTCAATGGGAGTGACTTTGCCTCATTTACTATTGATGCTAATATGACATAAATGATAGCTGCTGAGGAGGGATGATCTGTTTGTTGAAGGTTCGGTTGGAGGTAATGTGTACTAATTGTAATCAGGTTAGGCATGGTGTGCTTACAGCAGTGCACTAATTAAATACACACCTTAATCAGAGCGCAAACAAGCTTTCTTGTCTCTATATTTTAGGCTCAAAGATAAGGAGTAATATTAATAGTAAGTATAACCTTAAAATTTTTATTTTAGAAGACAGAAGAGGATGTTAGATCCTCTAAAGCTAGAGTTGTAGCACCTCACATGGGTGCTGGGAACAGAATTTTGGTTCTCTGCAAGAACCATACACACTCTTCACAACTGAGCCATCACTTTAGCCTGCCAAATAAAACTGTGTTAGGATACTGATGGATTATAATTGCAAATGTAAAAAAGTAAATAAGAAGAGGGAACGTTATTTAATAACTATATAGACAAGCTGAAAAAATTGTGTTTTTAAGTACTAAAGCACTAAATCTATGGATTGTCTTACACAGTCTATGTAATTTTATTTAGCTGTCATTAACATTTGTTTTCTGGGATCATTATTGTTATATAAAGTTCACAGGGGCAATAATTTCCCCTTAAAAATTGCTTCAAATGTTCCACTTTTTTCTAGTCAATTTTTTGTTTGTTTGTTTGTTTCTCCACTTAATGATATGTTTTCATTATGGAAATTTCTTCTATTCTTCATGTTATTTTAAATTTTAAATTTCTTTCTAGTTGCATTTATGAGATTATTGGTCAGCTCTGAAAATATGGAAAAAGTGTTTCTGAGTCATATGTGCAGAACTATTGAATACTCGTGAGAAAACAATGTTGTGAGTATGATACAGATCACATCATGCTAAACAAGAGACAAATCCAGAAAAAAGCTTCATAGGCACATTTTCCTCATTCACAAAAATCATAGCTTCCCCAAGTCTAAGTAAAAATGTCCTTTCCTACAACTTAGTCCTTTCATGTTGACAGTGAGTATTCTTAGGGTAGAGCTATTAAAAATGCTCTGTACTAAAGAAGAAATTGGCATCTGGCAGGAGGGAAAGATAAAGAAAGGCTTGAGCCACAGGATGGTCTAACAATGGTGGCTGAAATGCTTCATTGCTTGTTTTGAGTGATCACCCTTGCATTGCAGGGAGTACAAATGCATTCCACCTCCTCTGAAGACAGAAGAGAATAAGGAACAGGAATGTCCTAGGGAGAAAGAGATATGTAGGTATGTAGATGGCTATCCGAACAGATAATTTTAACAGAAGTAACAGACAAAGTGGGAAACACTTAGAGGCCACCATGGTTAAGGAAGGTATATGAAAGCTGTTGGTCAATTCTCATTCTGATTTTCATAAGGGACCCTTTGTTTAGCTTTGTTTTAAATTATTTGTGAGTTGGAAATGGTAGCTAATATGTAGAACACACACACACACACACACACACACACACACACATATCCTAATAATATAGCAAAGCTGGTGTAACAGGAACCTCAACTAAATGCTAGACTCTTTGACTATGTTTTATTCTCAGACATAGACAGATTTTTTTGCAATGTGACCTTATGTACATAGTTACAAACTGTCAGTCATTATAAAATACTAATGTATTTTTTTATGAGATTTCAGAGTTCAAACAAGCTGTGAAGGTAGCTGTAGTTTCTTAAAATGTAGCTAAAGTTCAGGAAAAAAAATGTACATTTAATTTTAAGGCATTTATATCTTTAATAGAGAAATTTTTCATTAACAATATAAACATCATGGCTATTAAAAACTATCTTTATTAAATATTTACTGCATTTCAGAGGCTATGCTAAAATGTCTCCTTCTTACCATCAGCCTATAAAATGAGTGCTATTGTTATCACTTTAGAGACGACAAACAGGTGCTAAAAGGGCAGGCTACTTGCATGTGTTCATAAAGCAAACACCATTTGAAGTCATAGTAAACAGAAAACAGATTCCTAACTATGTTGCTGAATACTGATTAAGGACTTCTAAATCATTAGGACACAGTCATGTGCTAGTCTTTCTTCAGTACACCATTTTATGCAGCAATGTAGTTTATTGAAAACATGGGTTTTACTTCAAGTCTTTTGAACTTGTCCACCCTATGTTTTTCTCTACAATCCATGTCTTTCCCCTCTTAGCAGAACTTCAGCAATTCTGACATCTGGAAAAAGTGTGTCTCTGGCTAGTAACACTATCTTGAAGTCCGGCATTCTGTACACATCTTGCAAAACTGAGACCTGTTGCAAACCTGCATCTGCCCTTGACTTCTTTCCCTTCTGAGAAAAGAAACTACGGTAAGCCAGGTTGACACTGAAAATGGCCTCCATTTGAAGCTTCATTTTTATGTCATAAGCCTTTCAGAAATCCTGTTCATGTTTGATATTTGTTTAGTTTTGGATATCTTAGACAAGCAAAACACTGTCCAAAATGGGAAAGGGCTTGTCTTCCTTTTCATTCTCTATCATCTTTAGGAGATATTTCTTTTTGTCTTCTTCCTCCTCCTCTTTTCTTTCAATTCCTTTCTCTTCTTTCTCTAAGTCCTCTTCTTCAAACTCCTTACTCTTCTTTTACTTCTCCAACTGCTTCTCCTCCTCCTATTTCTATTCCTCTTTCTTCTGTGGTTCTGGGTTTTGAACTCACAGCCTCACATTTACCAGGTTACACACCCTCCTATAGGGTTCTTTCCCAGGCCTATCCTTTCTTCTTATGTTTTGCAAGTTAGGTGCTAGCTTAAAAGAAAGGTGAAGAAAAAGAGAAATTAAATATCTAATCAATGAATAAATCTATAGTTGTAAATAATTTCTTTAAAAAAAGAAATCAAACATGGTTCTAACAAATAGAATTGATCAAAAATGTGAAACATGTTTTTTATGTTTCAGTCTTTTATTTTCCATTTGGGAGCATGTGTCTTAAGGGGGATCACATGAGTCATGGCAAACTACAGTAGTCAGAGGACAATTTTGTGGAGTCAGTTCTTTCCTCTCACCCTTAGATTGGGAATGAAATCAGACTACCAGGCTGATATGGCATGATCTTTATCTTACCTAATGAGCCATTTCGAATTCCTTATTTATATGTGAATTTTTAAAAAATGAAAACCCGGAGAGGACAAGATGATGGCGCCAGGAGAACACTGCGTCTGAGGAGCAGGACAACATTTCCCATACAGCAACAAAGAGATTGAACTCTGGGCCCTAAAACAACAGCGATCCTGTTTGTTTCCCAGGTAAGAGGAAACCCCCATGGCGAGGGAATCAGTAGGGTCCACTCTCAGGTCCCCTAGCCAGAACCCAGAAGAGATCCCGGGTCCCGAAGGCACTAGGTCACCAGACCAGAGCCACATGCCTGCGTGTCCTGATCACTTTCGCAGGCTGATCGGTGGACACAAAACACCAGAGACTGAGAGTCCCTGTCGCAAGAGAACTCCAAGGGAAGGAAGGAAATGGTACTGACTTGGGTCACCCAGTCTTTCCCTAGAAAAAGTCTCTCAGATGGGCAGGTATGAGCCGACATCACTGAATTGGCCTCCAGCCACAAGCACAGACAGCTGCTGCTTGCCAGCTCTCCAGTTGTATGCCCCAGGGCAGCAGAGACTGGGAGTCACTGTCTGGAGAAATCTCACAAGGAACGAAGCAAAGGGGATGTATTTTGGCCACCCAGTATATCCCTGGAAAAGGTCCCGCAGATCGGCCCAACCCAGGGACCTGCTGTGCACCAGATGGCCTGCTGTTGCCAGTAGAGCAGTACCCACCCGCCACAGATTACCACTTGAGTACTGGGACATAGACCTACAAAACCTACATACCCCAACACAGACCTACAAAAGCCCAGAATTCCTGAGATCAACCCCCAGATATTGCTCCAAGGGGCAACCATTTATCCCTAACAAAACTGACCAAATCACCA